CTGTTGGCAACCCATCCTCGAGCTCTCTTGCCCGAGCTGGATCGATCGCTCTGGGCGTCGCCCAGGGGCTTCTCGCCGCGGCTGCCGAGTCCCCTTCGACCCCCTGAGCGAGTGAAGTTGCAGGCCCATCTTGTCCGAGTTTTCCAGCGTGAGCTCTTCCCAGACGACCTTGCCTTCGGCCGCCGTTTTGTTTCGTGGTTTCCTGGATCTGCTTGGGTTCTGGACTCCGTGGAATGGGAAGAGGTCCGCTCGCTGGTTCATAGGGTGCGCGGTCCTCTCGCCAATGGTGCGTGGGGGGCCCTCTATGGCAGTTTGATCACCTCGTGTATGTTAGGCTGTCCAGCCTCCGATTCCTTTCAGCGCTACTGGGAGTGTCTTCTTTTCGTAGCCTTGTTGCGGCTGGCTCTCTCTTGCGACGTCCATTCCGGTCCAATCTGCCGCCTCGGTATCTTTCTTCGCACCTGCGCCTCTCTGTCCGCCCCCGCTTGTGCCCGCGTTTTGTTCCTGGATTTCCGTGCTCTGTTTCGCCCGCCGTATCCGCTGTCCCTATCGGCAGCTATTTCTTCGATGCCCCTCGCGAGGGTGCAGCTTGCGCGCGCGCGGGCTCGGGCCGATAGGCGGGGCTGTGGCGCGCGGCCGCGTGGGGGTGTGGGGGGTGGGGGGGGGGGGAGAGAGAAGGAAGGAGTAGGAGGTGGAAGGAGGAACAGGAGGGGGAGGGCGTGCAAGAGGGCCAGAGGTCTCTTGGATGCCTGTCGGAGCTTCTTGGTATATATGTTGGGTTATGATGTTCCAACCTACATTAGCCTTGATCATCAAGAACAATTTCGAGCACCCATAACGTACCGACACCCGATGGTTTTCACGTGTCACTGTTTCGACACCATTTTGACACTCTTTCGACGCTCTTCCGGGTGATCGATTTTTTTTTGGGATGTAGTCTTTGCATGCGATGGGGGCAACATGAATCTTGGGAGCTTCGTGGAGGCCTCTTGGGTCGTCGTTGGGGTCTCTTGGCGGTCCCGGGGGCTCTTGGACGTCATGGGTGCTTCGTTTTTTTTGGGTGGGGGGGTGGGGGGCGCTTGGGGTCCTCGCGGGGGCCTCTTGTGGCCATCTTGGGACCATCCTGGGGCCTCTCGGGGCCTCCTGGGCGTCACTTGGGGCCGTCTTGGGGGGCGTCGATCGAAGAAAAGGGGGGCTCCACTTAGCACCCCCCCTCGGGGGCCCCAACAATCACCTCCTGGGCCCCTCTTGGGGAGCTCTTGGAGCGCCCTTGGGCGCTCTTGGGGCCGTATTGGAGCCTTCTTGGGCCTGTCTCGGGGCTTTCTCGGGCGATCTTGGAACCATTTCGGGCCCCCGGAAGGAAGCGTTGGGCGCGCAGGGGCGAGAAGGCGCACTCATTGGTTTTCTTTCGGTTTTGGACGGATTTTGGCCTCTTGGGGGCCTCGTTGGAGGTCTCGAACACCTCTTGGAACCGTCGTGGAACGTTCATGGGGTTTTTTGGAGCATCTTGGGAGCCACCTTGAGGCATCTTGGGCTATCCTCAGCCGTTTTGGAGGTCTTCTTGGGGTCTCCGAGACTCTCTTGTAGCCGTCTTGGGCCACCTTGGACGCTCTGACCGTTCGCGAACCCCCCGTCCAGGTCCGGGGGGGGTGTGGGGAGGTGCGCAACGTGGCAGCACACATCAGGAAACATGTCGGCCCCCGCCGTCCTTGTCGAAAACCGTTGCCCATCATTGTGTCAGCTGGGCTTGTGCACCAAAAGCCACGCGCCCCCCTTCCCCCCCGCCGTCCCTGTCAAAAACCACTTGACAGTGATCGCGGGATGGTCGCGCACGATCCAGATTTAGCCGCGAGGGTGTATTTTTTTGTTGGCAGGGATGGTCGCCTTGCGCGCAGCAGGGAATCAGCTGACACCCCCGCCGTCTTTGTCAGAACAATGCGAAGTGCTCGCGGGCCTCACGAACATGAATCAAGACTGTGCCCCAAAGTGTACTTTTCATTGTTTTTTTGACGGATGGTGGGGGGGGGCCGCATCGGGTTGGCCGCGCATGCTCCAGATGTGGATGCAGAGTGCGGTTTGTATGGTTTTTTGACACGGATGGGCGGGGGCGGGTGGTCATGGTGTCGGCATGGTGCGTGGTTGGCGCCCAGTCGCCTGGGGGAGGGGGTATATATGAATACGGAACAGTGAGAAACCCCTCCCCGAAGGGGAAATAGGGGGTGGGAAGAGGAATCTCCCTAAACCACCTACGCCCTAAAGGGCTGGTGGGATTTGACAGGGATGCGGCGACGGCGAGCACGGAAGTGCCAGACCGCCAGCCAGGCTCAGACAACGGGGGGCGGTGAGGCGGCGACGGGCGGCGACGGCGAGCACGGGGCCGCCAGACCGCCAGCCATGCCCAAACGATGGTCGGCGACGAGGCGGCGACGGGGCGGCGACGGCGAGCATGGAGCCTCCAGATCGCCAGCGAGGCCCAGTTCTTTAGACGAGAGAGAACCCGCAAGTGCGAGCATTGTTGGGGGACATTTTCGAAGTTCCGCGCGGATGATTGGATCGGCGTTGGATTCCCTACCTGGCGTGCTGAGCGCGCCAGGGACGGCGCCGGAGATGCCGCCAGGAGGGTTCAGAGGCCGCAGAGTTTTCGCGCCACTCGAACACTGTGTGCCAGGGAACCGCCTTGGTTCCAGTCTTTGGAACGAGTTTTACGCTGTTGCTTGGTATTCAATAGCAAACAATGGATTCTTGGGCTTACGCCACACCGCCGACCCCTTGGGGGGGCTCGCAGCGCGTCGCCTTCGCTCAGAATCTGACCGCTGGGGACGGGATGGATAAGGCCCGCGTTTACAGACGTGAGCCATTTATCGGACAGTCAGAAAGAACATTACAGGAGAACGGGCCAAACGCATCGCCCGGTCATGTGCCGCGCGTGCCACGAAAAATCGGAGGCCCAGATTTTCCGTTGTGGAGCATGCCCGACGGGGGCGGATGGGAAGGCGCCCGCGTTCACAGACTTGAGCCATTTGTCCGATAACCAGAAAGTACATTATAGGAAGACGGGCCAGGCGCATCGCCCAGTCGTGTGCCGCGCGTGTCACGATGCGCGCACGGGGGCGAAAAAGTTTGAATGCTCCGCGTGCCCACCGAACGGGGACGGGAAGAAACCAGCGTTTTCAGACGGGGGCCATTTGTCGAAAGACCAGAAGAAGAATTATTTCAAGCGAAACAACCCAGTTGTGTGCGCGAAGTGTTTTAAAGCGGGACGAGCGCCGCGGAGAGACCCTCCGAAACGCCCGGCGGAACCAAGTGACGAGCATTGCGACAAGGCACGGAAGTTGCGAGGAATCTGACCGCTGGGGACGGGATGGATAAGGGGGACGTGGAGGAGGGAGGATGGGGGAGCAGCCAAAGGCGGAGAAGGTGAAAAGTGAGCCAGTGGAGGGAATACGAGACAGAAAGCTGAGAGGGGAGACGGGAGGAGGGGGCGGAAGAGGAGGATGAGAAGGAGCAGGAGAACACGACGAGGACGACAATGGCGGCGACAGACTCGACGGCGTAGGCTGGGCACCTTTTTGGGGCCATCTTGGGGGCTTCGTTGACCGTTGTGGGAGCCTCTGGCGCCGTCGTCGTGAGAATCCTCTCGGGGGCCTGCGGGAGGCAGTTTGGAGGCTTCTGGGGAGCTGTTTTGGGGCAGCTTGGGGCTTTTTTTGGGCTTGTTGGGGGCCTCTTGGGGGCTTCTTGGAGCCTCTTGGAGGCCTCTTGGGGCCTCCTTGGCGCCTTTTGGGGCGGAAGGCTAGAATTTTAGGTTCGTGGTCCCCGTCTGGAGCCTTTCTTGGGCCCCTCTGTGGGCCCTCTTGGACTGTCTGAAGGCCCTCTTGAGCCGTTTTGAGGCGCTCTTGGGCCGTGTTGGGGCCCACTTGGGAGCCTCTCGGGTCGTCTTGATGCCGTCTTGGGGGCTTCTTTCGCCGTCTTGGAGCGTCGGAAGCCCGAAAAAACGCGAAGGCCAAAAACGTTGAAAAAACCAATGGAAATCGACGATTTTGGCCTCTTGGGGCCATCTTGGGAGGCGTCTTGGAAGCTTCTTGGGGCGTCTTGGAGGCATCTGGGGCCATCTGGAGGCCATCTTGACCGTCTTCGAGTGTTTTTTCGGCGACTCGGGGCCCTCTTGGACCGTCTGCAGAGCTTCTTGGGAGCCTCTTCGCTCGTTTGCGGCCCCCCCAGCAGACTCTCTGGAGCGGATGACCCCCCCCGGACCGCGCCGGCGGATCCCGGGGAATCCGGCCGGACCCCCCCCCCCCCCCCTCCAAAACGACCGGACCAGGCTCCGGGGGGAGGGGTTTGGGGAGGGGGGAAGCATCTCACACGCCGATGACCCCAAGGGGTCGGCGGATTCCAGGAGTCTGCTTTCGCAGACGATCTCACATTCAAGATTTTTGAAAATTTGTGACTGGCGTCAGTACCGTGTAACCTATCCCCATCCCAAGCGGGCCATGGCATCTCAGCCCCACCATCCCACCCGCCCAGTTGGGGATTTGCCCTTCGAAACCGAAGGGAACAGCCTACATCCGCATCCAGGGGGGCAGATCGGCAAGTGGGGCCAAGGCCGTGCCAGTGGGGATGGGCATCGCTGAAACGATGCTCCTGGCAGCGCAGTTCTTCCCGTATCGCTGGATCGGCTGGAGCGCGCAGTGGGCTCCCCAGACATCCGCCGACATGTTTTTTTCAATCCGCGGCACCAGGGATTCCGACCCCTTCCCTGGGAGTGGTCTTTCGTCCCGGATCCACTTTTGACGGTCCAACGAGCCCCAGATCAGAAATCCAAGATCGTGACGTGGACCCCCAGGGGTCTCGACCCATTCCCTGGGACCCTTTTTTCAGCCTGAGTCGTTTTTTGACTATCCCGCGGCCCCTAAGAGGCCGAAAATCACGAAAAACCTCGCGTCGTGATTTTTCATGATTCGAGGGGGTCTGGGATCTCTGGGTGGCGGGGGCCCCGAGCGCAGGAGCCTCACCGGCGTCGTGCTCCGGGCCTTCGGGAAAGACTCGCAGGCGCGGCTTAGCGGGCGGGGGGGCCGAGGGCTTCGGGGGCTGGGGGGCCTGCGGCCTGAAGGGGCTGCTGCCCGTCCCTCAGGCCGGGGGGGGTGGGGCTGGGTCGTGGTGGCTCTAGGCCTCCTGGATAGGGTCGGGGCAGATGGAGCCGAAGGATCGCGCCGCATCGCCGATGCATCGGCGATGCGGCTCGATGCGGAGCCCGATTTTCTGCTCGCGGACGTCGCCGATGCATCGCCGACGTCGCCGATGCATTGCCGATGCGGCGCGATCCTCCGACCCCATCTACTCCAATCCCATCTACGAGGCCTCTACTGTCGTGGTGGCGGCGGTGGTGATGTCGGATGTCGGCGATGGCGACGGCTTGTTTTTGTTACAGTCAACCCGCATAGGAATGATGAGCGACTTCCCCGTCGTTCCATCCTTGGTCGCTTTCGCTGGCCGCGCCCCGCCCGCACAGTGTCGACGTGGCCTTCCAAGGCCCTTGCATCCTGATCGTGCGTCCTTGCTCTACGGGTCGACTGTAAGTGTGTTGGGCTTGTTTGTTTGCTGTGCTCTGTTTTGTGAGGTTTTTGTTTGTTATTGTTATTCAGTGCCCATCGCTATTTCAATTCAAGTGCTCATCCCGAGGATCGTACTCTGTTTCTTACAAGGGAAAGCCTTTGGGCTCAGATTGTGTTGTTGGCCCCCGGTTTATAGTAACAAAGTCTCCCGCCTGATCTTTCCTCCTATTTTTTTCCCAAAGTGCGCTCTCGCGCGGAACTTCTTCATAACTTGTGCAGGGATCGCGCTCTCGCGTGGGACGTCCTAGCAATTTATGCAGACGCCGCGCCCTCGACACTCAAGATTCACGCTCTCGTTCTGTCTTTTCTCACAATTTACGTGGGAATCGCGCTATCTCTCGAGACTTTCTCGCGATTTATGCAGGGCTCACGCTTCAGCAGCACGCCTGCTCGACCTGGCCGCCTGGGTCCGCCTTCGCGACCCGCCCATTCGGATCTACCCGGCCGATCAGCTCGTCTGGTTCTGCCACGTGTTTTCTGCTCCTAGCCCCCCTCCTGCTAATCTCTCTCATACTCCATCCTTCTCCCTCCCCCTTCCATCCGTCCTCTCTTCCCTTCTTTTAGGGGCGCCGCTAAATACGCGTGGCGGGCAAGGAAAATGTACTACCGAGGGGGTACGAGGGCGAAGAGGGCGGACACCCGAAGGTTTGGGATAGACTTGTTGAATGGCACGTTAGCAGGTAGGAGCGAACAGTTTTAGAATGTTTGTTGAATGTTAATAATGAAACCATAATTATTGTTGGACCTCCCCCAGGTGCCCTGGCGCTCTCGCCTCGGCGCCGGCTACATCTTCATTGAAAATGAGACTCACTCTCGAGTGGTTTGGGGGGGCGCCAAAACCGGCCCCCCAACAACAACAACGCTCCCGCTCGAGACTTCTTCTTTTTTGCTCAGGGCCGGTGCTCTTGCTCGCCGCCGAAAGCCGCCGTACCAACAAAGCCAGCGCTCCCGCTCGAGACTTCCTCCAGTTTTACCTTGGACCGGCGCGCTTCTGTTTCTTTCATCGGCGCCGCCACCAGTAACAACAACGCTCCCGCTCGAGACCTTCTCCCTTTTTTGATCAAGGCGGTGCTCCTCCTCGTCGCCGAAAACCGCCGTGAGAGCTGGGTGAGATGTGAGAGCTGGGTGGCGTTTCCAGACGTTCCTGGCACGGGAGCGACGCGCCACAGGTGGGTCCCCGTGCGAAACGAGCGCCCGCGGAACCCGAGCTTCCACGGTGCGCCGCAGCCGAAGCACAGGCCCGGTGAGGAAGACAGGAACGGGTTGATACTCATGGCGTCTTTCCGCCCACTCACGTTGCAGACGTCGGCCGTGGACACAGTGTCCCGCGTGACTGACTGGTGCGCGGACGGCCGGTCTGCGGGCGTAGTGGCACGGGAGTGGCTAGACGGGGGGCTGACGTGCGAAGAGGCGAAACGGTACGTGCAGAATTACATGAACGTGGTTGACATGCGGCCAGAGGGGGAGGAGTCGGGTTGGAAGCACGAGGATGACCTTTTCAGCGACGAAGACGTGGATGTCGATGACATCAACGACGAAACAAAGCGCCGGGTACATGTAGGGGGCGCGCGCGTGGAAGACGAGGCGCGGGAGACGACTGAAGCAGTGGCGGATGCTCGGCGACAGAGTGCGGAAGCCATGGTTTTGTCTGCGCGCGTGTGGAGGCGGCTTCCAGGCGGCGGCGGGGATTCGCCGGAGGGCGGGTGGGCGCGAACAGACGGTCGCGAGGAAGTGCCGGGCGCGGAGTTAAAGCGTAGGGAAGCGGAGGCGAGGGCGTCGCAAACGAAAGAGAGTGGAGACCCCCTGGCGGCATATGAAGGGGAGGACGGGCGCATTGTGTCCGAGCCGGCTGGGACCGCGCGGGAGCTGAGGAAATGGAGAGCGAGCCTCAGCGGACCCGAGGAGGAGCGTCCGCTGAAGCTCAACGAGCAGCAGCGGGAAGTGGTCGGGAAAGTCGTGAGCAGGATGATAGAGGAGTGCGGGGGGAGACGACTCAGCACGGGTAAACGGGGAACCTTTGTTGTGGATGTTGCACGGGGGGCCAGGAACAGGCAAGAGCTACGTGGTGGACGCTCTGCGGACGCACGTGTTCGAGGGTATCGTGGAGTGGAGACGCGGGCTGGACTTTCAAGCGGCGGCACTGCGGGCCGCGAACGCGTCGGCGCTGGGCGGGCATGCCTTGCATGCGGCTTTTGGGATGGCGCCCTTTGCGAGCGGTTCGGGCAACTCTAAGGGGCGCGGATCGGACGGGGCGAAAAAGGTGGAGGCTGCCGAGCGGATGCAACAGTGGCGGTGGTTAATCATCGATGAGATTAGCATGGTAAGTGCAAGCTTTCTCGCGGAGTCGGGCGCGCATTTGCGGTCGGTCATGTCGGCGGCGCGCCAGGGAAAAGTTGACGCTGAAGGGGTTGGCAGGCCGTTTGGAGGGGTGAATGTGTTGTTTCGTGGAGATTTCTACCAGCTGGAGCCGCCGGGTGGCGCGCCTTTGAACGCGATCCCGACGTCGTGGGTTCGTCAGGCAAGGCAGTGCGCGCCAAGCGCGGGGGAGGACCATGGGCATTGCATTTTCTGGGGTGCGGGACGCGGTTCCGTTGCAGGGATGACCGGGCTAGTGGAATGCAAGCGGTTGGAAGGTCATGGCGAGTGGTTCTTGAGTGTTCAGGACGAGTTCCGGCGCGGGGCCTTGAGCGAACGGACGCGCCAGTTTCTGCGCGGGCGACCGACGGACGTGGCCGGGTCGCGGGTGGGGCGTGGGCCAACGTGCGGTTCCGAGCACTGCGCGAAGAACGCAGAGGCCATCGCAAGAGACAACGCGCAGGAGTGCGATCTTTGTAAAGCAGAGCGGCGTAGACGGCAGTTGGTCGCGACGGGGCCCGATGACGAACGATTTTTTTTGCCGGAGTTCGTGAAGGCGACAGCGATTTACCCGAATCAGGATGTGAAATGCAAAGTCGCGCGCCAGCGTGCCGTGGACTGGGCCGCGAGCGAGGGGGAGCAAATTTCGTGGGTGTACGCGAGAGATGTGGCGCGTCATGGGGCCCTCCAAAAACGGCCGTGCACGTCTGCGGACAAGGTTCGGTGGCTGGGATACCATGATAAAGCATGCGCAGATATGCCTGTGTGGCTGCCGCTGGCGGCGGGCATGCCCGTGGTTTTGACTGATCATTTGGATCGGGGTGAGAAACAGCTGCTCCGCGGGTGCCACGCGACGATTCACTCGTGGGTTGTCGACGAGGACGAGGGTGCCGTCGCGGACGCGGCAGAAGTCGCGCTTCGGAGGATGCCGAGGCAGATCGTGCTCGACTTTCATACGGACGCGTGGACGCTGAAGAGCATGCCGGGGCCGGGCCTGTATCCCGATCGTGCCGAAGCAACGGGTCTGGTTCTTGGACGCGTACCGTAAGAAGCCTGTGTTGGGTGTTCGGCGGAAGCAGTCTCTGATGTCGCCGGGCCTGGCAAGCGCGGCTCACGCGGCGCAGGGCCGATCCCTAGACGCTGTCATAGCAGATTTGCAGGAGGGTCGACATGTGATCGGCAACACCCCAACATACTTATACTATATGTGCGTCGCCCCCCAGGGGCGACGCGCGCACCGAGAAATCTTATAGTATATGCGTCGTGGCGACGCTTTCTGGCCACACCGCTCGGGAAACGATATACTACAAGATGGGTATACTATATGTTCGGGTCGGACGCGCGCCTCCAAGGCGGACACATAGTATTAGTATGTCTCTGTGCATCCCATGTGAGTTGGATGGCGAGTTACGTGGCAATCACCCGCGTGGAGACTCGTGGAGGTTCGCTGATATATCGCCCGTTTGAGATGAAGCCGTATACGCAAGGAAAGATGGAAGGGGCGAAACATCTGCTGGGCAAGTTGCGCGGGGAGGAGGTGCCGTGGGCGGAAATAGAAGCGAAGCTGATGCCCCGTAAGATGTGCAGTAGATGTAGCACCTTGAAGGAGAAAGCGGGTTTCACGCTCGCAGAGTTCAGGGAGAAGGACGGGCCGTGTTTTTGTCGCGAGTGCGCGGATGAGTTGAAGGAAGCGGGCGAAAAGTGGTGCACCGAATGCAAGACGTGGGCCGCGTTGGGGCCGAGGGCGCCAGAGGGCGAGGCTCGCGGAAGGCGAGTGTACGCAAGAACGAGCAAGTGCGGGAGATGCGCGGGGCCCGCGACGGCGCGGAAATCACGGAAGGAGTCGGCGGCGTGGCAGGAGAAGGTTCAGGAGAAATTCAAGATTCGGTGCGCGAAGTGCAAGAATTTCTTGAAGACGGAGGCGGAAGTGGCGGCGAACCAGTGCGACTCGAAAGATGCGGGGGAGAGGCTTTGCAGGGCGTGCGCCCGCAACGAGAAGGGTGGGCGGAACGAGAAGGCGGATGCAGAGAATCGCAAGCGGAAAGCAGAGGCGGACGCGAAGCCGCTGACGTGCGCGGCGTG